CGCATAGGATTTGATTATAGTGGTGAAGGCTTTGTGCGGAACCAACCACTTTTTTTGAAGCCGAATAAATACAGAGACCTGGTGCACTACGTGCCACAAGGTCCCCAAATGGCCCTCTGCAGGTTTTGAATTCAGAGTTGTCCTTTTCCTAGAACAGTTGCCATCCAAGGTTATAGAACCCAGTCTGTCCGTCCTGCTATTTACCCATAGCTGCAGGATTCATACCTTTCCCAAGGATATTAGCACGTAAGTAAATATAATAGATTCGACTGGAATATATATATATATATATATATATATATATATATATATATATATATATATATATATTGTAATGGGACTTTACCCATAATAACATAATGGACTATTCCATACGTAATAAATACTGCGCCTCAAGAGGAAGCAGGGAGTTCAGTCCGAAGTCGGACGACCGGCTAATCGGCTGATCGGTTGAACTCTCTGCCTTCGGGCGGGGAGGAACCCGAACGAGGCTACGCCGAAGGGCGCAGTCTCTTTCGGGGAGGTAAACCGACTCAGAACCCGTTTATACGGGTTCAATGGGCATATTTTTGGTCGAGCCCATGGGCTCGGAGATCCCACGTTAAACCGGTCTTGTGCTACATGATGCCCTCGTGGGCGGGGGTGACTAAATACCGTTCAGTCTGAAGTCTGGAGTGAGGTCCGTCAGGAGTCTGTCAGTCAGTCAGAGCGAGCGAGTCAGTCAGTCGAATCAGAGGCAGTCCGAAACAGAGTCGCGTTCAGACAATTACTACTAAATCTGATTGTTCGTACTAACACTTTCTACCTCTCTGTATATATTCCTGTTTGTAATATATCTGTGTTATTTCATATCCGTGTTCGAGTTCTTCTTTATTGGTTCTACCTTGAACTATCACCGCGGTACAAGGAACCGGACCATAACATATATATATATAAAGGCTTGAAGATTTCGTTCAAGTACGAATCTTTCGCCGTTTAATTTGGACCTCCTGATTTAAATATTGAAAAATCAAGGCAAAAACTCGTTCAAATTAAAGAAAGAGAAAAGAAAAGCAAGCATAGAATTAACATTAATCCCCTGTGAAGAGGAAAAGTGCAGACATTATCCAATTTTAATAAAATCTCGAAAGTAAAGTAGGAAAAAGAAAAATAGTAAGAAACAATTTCTTCCACGGAAATAAATATATAGAGTTTTAAATAAATGCCAGTCATTTCAAAAATACAAAATTCTCTAGATTAAACAAAATGTTTACTTTCTGTTTCAAATAATTAAGTCTGTTGTATAAAAAATACAAAAAGAACTAATTAACTTCAGTCACAAACGAATAGTATTCGAAGGCAAATGTTTCATAACGGTGCAAACTTAAATAATACCCATCGATGAAAGTTCCGGGACTAGATTCATAAACGAAATTTGTTGATTTAAATGAAGACATTTCTTTTTTTTTTTTTTTTTTTTGAGGTTTTATTATTTATTTATTTATTCATTTTTTAATGAAGCATGTACATTTACACCTAAATGTAAGTATTTGGGAAATTTTTTATTGCACACTGAGCGCAGGTCCTAATCTGCAAATTAACCATTTATTTATTTTTTTTTTTTGGTGCGGGGGATATGCTTAATTTTTTTCCGCTGAAAAATAACAAAATCCCCAATTTCATATGACAAAAAAAAAAACTGAATCGATTTTCAAGGCTGGCCACAACTTAACTAAATAGTGTATTTAATCTCCATTTTGCCTTTATCAAGTAAATATTTTTATATTTTTCAAAATTCTGATTTATTTTCTTTGATTTATTGAGAACGGGTTAAATGTTGCAATTGGAAAAACGTTCTAAAATGATATTTACGCATTTTTTTCCATAAGGATACGGAATTTTTTGACAGCGTTAAATCTTTCCCTGATCACCGGAATGAAATTCCAACGTTCTAATTTTGAACCAAAACTTAATCTTTAAACTCGTTTCCACAAAAAACGGTAACGATTTCGATATAAAAAAAATTTAAAAAATTGTGCAATTAACATCTCCAAACTCAACTTTTAAAAGCAGTACAATGCCACGGGTCGTAAATCGTCTTGTCCTAGTGTCCCCATCGGTAGCGATGTGGGTGCTGTAAAAAAAAGTAACCGCTTCTCGGCCTTTTGACTGGGATCAAAGTGTAGTATCTGTACTCGGGCGAATAAAGTCCATTTCATCTCTCAGCTATGTCTCTGTGGACAGAACGAAACTGAAAATATTAATGAGAAGTGCCCGGTCTCAGAAAACACTACCCTCCCTCACTGGGAATACCGATATCCACGCAAACGACAATATAATCGTTGCTCGGCATATTGGCTGCGATCAAAGTGCTATATCTGTTCACATCACCTTAATCTGATTCTCTCTCCCCACTTCTTTTGTTCTTTTCTTTCTTTTCTTTCTTTCTTTCACTCACTAAAACCAAGTAGTGTCTTTTCCTCTTTTTTCACGCGACCAAAATGGAATAGTCCATTATTTATGAAGTATTGGCGGGGCGCAACGAAGGGAGGGAGAGCAGCACCACCAACAGCAGCAACAACAACAACAATAATAATTTGTCTATGTAATTTTTATTTTGGCAGTGGTGAGTGTCATGATGTCATCTCTAAGCTTAGGTCCCTGGGAGGGACCCGGAAAGAAATGTGTAAACGCCAGAAATCAAAGGATATAAAAATAATAATAATAATAATAATTAATATTATTATTTGGAAGACATCAAATTATTATTATTATTAACTTTTTATTTCTCTTAAGAAATGCATTTGTCCAGTTTTCTGGACCAGGTCTTGAGACCCCTGTATTTCCACGCGCCCTGCCTTCACGGTGTTCTTGTCTCAAGATTCCGCAACATCTATCAAGATCCATTCATAGCTGCCCTTTTGCACAATTTTGAAGTCAGGGCGATTTCTCTCCAAGCGCTTATCAGTTAATATGTGCTTGGAGAGCAATAATAATAGTAATAAAACTTAAGGAAAAGGCGCGATTTAAGTAAAGAAAAAACACAGTGTTTAACAATGTTAAACAATATTTCGACATTATGTCATCTTCAAGTTATTTTTTTTTTAATTCAAGTATAAAAATATGTACCAGTTTTATGGAGACACGGCTCGGATTGAGGAATCGGAGAGCTGAGTTCGAATACCATTACTTTCACTTGCCTTAGGAAAAGTATGAATCATTTTCTTCTCCACCCCTGTAGAAGCTTGGCAGACTGGGTATCTATAGAGGTAGGTGGCAACTGGTCTCGGAGAAGGTAAGGTTTTGAATTCAAAAACCGGCCTGGGGAGGGTTGCGCACTATCAGACTATCTTCTCTAAGAAACACCACTTCTACTGTAACTGCAGTACAAGTGGTGGTGGGCCTCCCACTCTGTTGGGCCAAGGGATTCGCGATCGATTTGCGCGCGATATTATTATACTTTAAAAAAAATCTTTCTTTGTTTAAATAACTTAAAGAGATATATTCTCGGAGTATTTAATATTGTCAAACACCGTGTTTTTTTTTTTTTTTTTCTTAAGTGTTGACAAATACTGGAAGACCAGTTAAACATTTTGTTTATTATTATTATTATTATTATTATTATTATTATTATTATTATTTTCTTTGATTTCTGGCGTTTACACATTTCTTTCCGGGTCCCGCTCAGGGACCTTAAGGTTAGAAAAGGCATCATGACAATTTCCACTGACAAAAAAAAAAAAAAAAAAGTACATAGATAAAGCCCTTCGTAAAGTGTGGGCTGTACTTTTCAGAACAATTTTTTGTATCTCTTTGAACCATGGGTTTCTATTTCAAGGTCCTTGTATTTTGACAGCTTTTTGAATATCTTCAAAGATACATTGCAGTGTGCAGGGACTGCCATATCAATAAGAAGACACTTTTTTTGTTTGTGGTCTTTAATAACAATGTCTGGGCGGTTGGCTTTGATTGTTCTGTCAGTGTATATTATATTGTGTAGTCCCATAGAATTGTAACAGGTCCTATCTCCGTAACCGGGTCTGGGTGGTGTTCATACCATTTTCTTTCAGTTTCCTTCCCGTAGAAGTTGCAGATTTTCCAGTGCAGATATTGGCCCACTATGTCATGTCGGGTTTTATATTCAGTGGGTGCCAACACCGTGCAACCTGATACAAGATGATCAATCGTTTCTGGATATTTATCACAGAATCTGCATTTTGGGCTGACACAATATTTTAGTATATGTGCTTGATAATTCCTAGTTAGCAAGCATTGGTCCTGCGCAGCAAGGATAAAACCTTCAGTTTCCGCTTTCAACCCTGCACTGATGGGTACGGGTTTTGTCTACGTCAGCTTGTTTGGTACGGGCAGAGTATTGGCCATGAAGCGGTTTATCTTGCCATCGCTTCTGTAACTGGTCTGTTGCATTCGTCTTATTATTATTATTATTATTATTATTATTATTATTTCTTCCTTGGATTTCTGTTGTATACACATTTCCTTCCGGGTCCCAACCAGAAATCTAAGGTCAGAAATGGCTTCATGGCCATTTTCCTTGATCATTTTTCTCGTGTAAAAACTAAAATCTTAAGATCAGACATATTTTATATAGATACAAGCTCTTCATAATGTGTGTCCTGTACTTGTAAGTACAATTTTTTTTGTATTTCTTTAAGGCTTAGAATACCAGGAATTTCTTGAATGAGTCTATCAGAACCGTTTCCAATCAAACCGAGGGCTCCAACTACACCTGGAATTATTGACGTCCTCATGTGTTAGACTTTTGAGATTTACACTTGAAGATCCTTGTATTTTAATAGTTTTTTTTTGAAGATCTTTAAAGATACATTACCATCTGCAGGAAATGCCATGTCAATAAGAAAAGCACGTTCTCTTTTTGTGTTCCTCGATTTATGTTTACAAATTGGTCTGCTGGTTCTCACTCGAAAATGAGTAGCTAAAAGATTCTTTCTTCCGTATTTTTGCATGTTTTCTCACTAAAACTCCTTTCAAGAACTTTTATGTCTCTCTTCACTTCCTTTCTTCTTCACTATTTTCCTCTTTCTCCTTTTCTCTATTATATTCTTTCTTTCTTTCTTTCTTTCTTTTTTTTTGATTTATCTTTAATTTTTCCTGATTCTCTTTCTGTTTCTCTCTTTGACTATATTTTACTCTTTTTTTGTCTCTCTCTCTTTCCTTTTTATTCTCTCTCTCCTTTATCCCCTCTCGTTTTTATTATTTCTTGCTTTCTCTCTTTTTCTTTCTATTACTCAATCTTTCTTTCTTTATCTTGTTTTTTTTCTCTTTTTAACCTTTGTCTCCTGCACTCAATTTTCCACTCCCGCCCATTCACTTTCATCTTCTCAGTCTAACTTTTTTTCTTATTTCCCTCTTTTCTCTCATACTCTCATTTTTTCTTCTTTCTTTCTTTCTTTCTTTCTTTCTTTCTTTCTTTCTTTCTTTCTTTCTTTCTTTCTTTCTTTATCAAGTTTTTCTCCCTTCCTCTGTCATTTTTATGTTTTTCATTCTATTTCTCTCTTCTATTTCTCTAGGATTTTTTTTCTCTCTCTATTCATCTCATTCTTTATTTTTTTCCCAGATTTTTCTTTCTCTTTTCTTCCTTTCTAATTATCATTCTTTCTTTATTTCTTGTTTTCCGTTTGTTTCATACTGTCTACCCCACTTTTACTCTATCTCTCTCTATACTTTTTTCGTACTTCTATTTTATTTCATTATCCCTCGCATCTTTCTTTCTTTCTTTCTTTCTTTCTTTCTTGTTCTTTCTTTCTTTCTTTCTTTTTTTTATCTTTCTTTCTTTCTTCCCCGTTTAACCATCGACCATATTTCTGTCTTTTTTCTTTACTATTTCATCCCAGCCTTTCTTACTTTTATTTTTCTTTCTTTCTTTCTTTCTTTCTTTCTTTCTTTCTTTCTTTCTTTCTTATTTAACCATCGAAGATATTTATTCTTTACTATTTGATCGTAATCTTTCTTTCTTTCTTTCTTTCTTTCTTTTCTTTTTTCTTCTTTCTTATTTAACCATCGAAGATATTTATTCTTTACTATTTGATCGTAATCTTTCTTTCTTTCTTTCTTTCTTTCTTTCTTATTTAACCATCGAAGATATTTATTCTTTACTATTTGATCGTAATCTTTCTTTCTTTCTTTCTTTCTTTCTTTCTTATTTAACCATCGAAGATATTTATTCTTTACTATTTGATCTTAACCTTTCTTTCTTTCTTTCTTTCTTTCTTTCTTTCTTTCTTTTCCATTCCCTTTTCTGTTTAATTTTCCTTTCATCAATTTCTCCCTATTTTCTTTTATTTTCTCTCTCGATTTTCCTATTTTTCTCTTCCATTTCCCCTTCTTTCTCTCTCCCTCGTCCTTTTCTATATCTCCTTTTCTTCTTTCTTTTAATGTTTTTCTCTTTTTCATCTTCCTCTTTTTTCTCTCCATTTCCCCGATTTTATTCCTTCCTTTTCTTCTTTTCTTCTTCTTCTTCCTTCAATTCTTTTTTTTTTTCTTTCCTGCTTCTTGTTTAACCTCTTATTTATCATTCTATCCTCCTCCGTCTTCTTTTCTTCTTCTTCTTCTTTTTTCTTTTTAACTTCTTCTTCTTCTTCTTCGTCTTCTTTTCTTCTTCTTTCTTTCTTTCTCTTTCTTTTTTCTCTCATTCCCAATATTTTTATTCTTTCTCATTTGTTTTTTCGTTTCTCTCTTTATCTTCTTCTTTTCTCTTTCTCTCTTTCTTTTATTATTTCTCTCTGTCTCTCTCTTTCTTTCTTTTTTTTTTTTTAACCATATCTTTTTTATTCTTTACTTTTTTCTTTTCTTTCTTTATTTCCTTTTTTCTTTTTTTTTCTTTTCCATTCCATTTTCTGGATAATGGTGACAGGTTCACTGTGGTCAGCTTTTCTAAAATAATTTAAATCCATACCTTCATCTCTTTACATCGTTTCTACACATGAAAGCAAGCAATTGTCCATAAACTGTCGCCATTTTTTTTTTCACTTCATGTTAGTCAAAACCAACCAGCGGACATTACTTCTTCCTTTTTTCTACTAAAGTTCAACCAATACAAGGCTTGGTCAGCTCCAGCCCATATATGGCACCAATATTCCATTTTTCGTCTAATCTGACTCCTTCAAAGATAAAGCATCGTTTTATTTATAGCTTGCCACTTACGATAAAGAACTACCAAGAAATTTTTGTTTTCATGAATGACGAACGTTTTTTTCTTTACAAATATGTTCCCCTGTACAAGGCCCAAGAGCCACTCGTAGTAGAGGATTTTTAAGTAAAATTAACACAAAAGCAAGGGATAATGCCGACATGTTCACTGTGGTTTTTTCAAATAATTTAATCCCTTTCCCACTGATTTAAATCGTTTTAAGCATTTCGCGCCATTAACGTTATTTCTATGGCAAATGGTTCTGACGAACTTCATTCATTAGCTCTCCCAGTTCAGACCTTCACAGCTAAGAGGCGCCATGCCACCGACACTTGAACCTGTTATCCTTATTCCCTTCGATAAAGATGCCAGAAATTTTGTTTTCAGGTGAATGAGAACTCTGTCACTATTCTGTGGCAAATGTTCTGATAGAACTACAAGTAAAGGCTCATTAGTACCCCCATGTTCAAATGTTCAATCTCTTTCCCACTGAAAATCATCTTATATCGCGCCATTAACGTTATTTCTATCCATTCTATATATATCTTTCTCTCTCTCTCTTCACATATATATACATATATATATATATATATATTATATATTACAAACTTTAGGTAATCCGTATGGGTAGACCTGGAGAGGATGATATCCAGAGAGCTCAATGTAAAATTCAGAGCAGATATGTTTGAATAAAAGACAGACCACGTTAAGATTCCATGTAATAAGTTATTTCACCATAACCCTTTTAACAGGGTTCTGGATCATCAGACTTTACTTCCAAAAGCTGAAATGAAAATGAAAAGAAATTCACACGTTTTTTACGGACCTCATCAAGTATACGTAAAATTAACGAAGTGAGGAAGTGAGGTGGGAGAGAGGATATGAGTGTGTCATATGTATCATTTTAGTTTCCTATTTTTAACCCCAGTGTGTCGGCTAGATGTTGCTCAAATTTAACGCGTCTCGTCTCTAGATATAGATGGCTAAGGGGTGAATGATAAGAACGACATTAAAGGAAGAAGTTACAACAACCCCAATAAATTACACAACAGGTTTCATTCAAAATCTTAGACGCTGTCAGTTTGCGTTACTTTAACGTGCATATTTGGGAGGTTAAGGTTTGATAAATATCTAAATGTTAAAACAATCTACGAAGAAATTAATTTGAAATTCGGTGGAGTTTTATATATATATATATGCTCCTGAGAAATTTATTTCGGTTGAGCTTTCTGTGGAGAAAGTGTGGGTTTGTAAACAGTGACTATTGCGGCTAATAATGCAAGACTCTTCGGTAAATCGAATCGAGTTCTCTCATTCACTGTTTTTATCTAAAAATAAATACGCTTAATTTTACCTTCATCCCTACCGTGCGACAACGGCTTAGTGGTAGAATCCCTTGACGCCAATTCAGTCCGGTTTGGATCCTAGCTAGAGGCAACCGGACGCCTAGTCACACTGATGAGCTGTAATACAGCGAAACAGTCTTGTCTGTGGATGACAATATATATATATATATATATATATATATATATATATATATATATATATATTGAATATATTGTACATAATTAGGTTATAATAAAATTTGTATTTCCTATGAATACATCCTAATGAAAATAGAGATGGGGGGGATCAGGTATCATAAATTTGGTGGGGATCATAAATTAGTGGGTGGGGGAAGGAGAAACTTGCATCAGACCTGAAGGTTATTATGAAGTGTGGGACAGAAGAGACTAGCCGAGTTCCATTTTTTTCCAGTGTTATCCTGGTTTGATGCGGCCTCACGTTGTCATGGAGGAAATCACTGCTTTGCAAAAAAAAAAAAAAAAAAAAAAAACTACGTTAGTGTACACAACATTTCTTCTTAACTGTCACATATGATTAGTAGTTAGAATAATACAGTCATCATTAGAACAGATTCCCTCCACACCGGAAATTACTTATGACAAAGTTATCTATCTATCTATCTATCTATCTATCTATCTATCTATCTATCTATCTATCACAGTTTGGTCATATCTATCTATCTATCTATCTATCTATCTATCTATCTATGG